AGGCCGTCGATGGACATGCGGAACCTGCGACTGGTCACGGAGCTCTCCCCGCGCGCCTGGTCGCACAGGACGCGCAGGAAGATGCCGCCACTCTTGCCCCACGACAGGGAGAACGCCCACGCGAGGCGGCCCGCCAGATTCGACGCGGCCCCCGGTGAGCAGCAATCCCGCGCATCAAGGAGCTCAGCTGAATACCGCTTTGCTTTTTCAGCTGGAACGCTCCAGAGGGTAGCGCGTCTTGCGGGGTGCCCCTCGGCGGCGGCAGGTGGAACCTGGCGCCCAGCAGCGCGCCGTCTGCACGGGGGCCGAAGAACTTGTCTTCGGGGTCCGCCTGCCCGGCGATCTCGAAACCGAGGACCTGGTGGAAGTCGCAGAGCAGCTGAAACTCCGCGTCTGCGAGATGCACCGGGGCGCAGTGCACCGCGTCGTCTACGTGGCGGTCACATAAGATGTCGACAAAGCGTCTCGCAACGACTGCGACTGCGCGGGGCAGCCGAGAGCATTGTTGCGGCTGCGCCCGCCCGCCGAAGGTCATGTTTCTCGGCGCGACCGCTGCGGTCTCTGACGCCTCTACGTCGCAACGAATGAGACGAAATACCTGCGGTGCTCCGGTCTCAGGCCAGCTTAGTAGAACTTTTTCCGCCAATCTACCTTGGCCAATGCCAGAAGAACTCGCGGGTGCACCGCGGCCGCCGCCCGGGCAAGCGCGCGACTCCATCGACGCCCATCATGTGAATTTTCTCGTTGAGGCGCGTCGCGGATGCGACGCCGCCCGCGCGAGACCCCTGACATCCTCTGATTTTGTCGCCCTGCGCCACCCCGAAGAACAGGATATCAACGAAGTCCCCGAAGTTCTGCCGGAAATCGTCGATGATGTGGGGCACGGAGCGGCCGCGGACGATCTCCAGCCGCCCCTTTGCCACCTGCTCTTGGACGGCGTGCCGCAGCTCTGCTCTGCCCGATGCTCGCCGGCAAGGTCGATGCGGCCCTCCTCCTGGCGGCGCCGGGCCGCCTCCAAGATCGATGCTAACGAAACTGGAGCTGCTTCCACCCGAGGCGCTGGCGGGATGCCCCCGACAGCATGGAAGCCCTGCAGGTCAGCTGAGAGCGCGGCGTCGTCGTGGCGCACAGCCCGGAGCAAGGCGTCAAGCAAGGGGCCCTGCACGTGCCCGCACGCGTGCCGCACGCTCTCCGGCACGGCATCCGCACGCGCCTGCTGCTTCCCTGCGCGCAGGAAGTGCAGGCGCCAACTCTGCATCTTCGCCCACTGCTGCCTCTGGAACGCTGGCAGGCCAGCCCCGAGCCTGGAGCGCATGGCCACTGCGTCTTTGATGGGCGGTTCCTGCTTGGCGCCTGGCTCGGGCAAGGCGAAGCTGGCCGATTGCGCCCGGGCGACGGTCGCCTCGCGCGCGCCTGTGCACGGGCCATGTGGCACCGACGCGGCCACCGGCGATGCGGCCTCGTGGTCTGCTGGCGCGGCAGACAGAGCGGCGGGCGCGCGCGCGGGCGTCTTCCCAACCACCGCGGGGTAGGCCCTGGCCGCTAGCGGGGGCCCCCCGGCGGCTGGGCGCCCCTAGCGCTCGCGCTTGGGTGGCGCCAGCCCGCGGCTGCGGGAGCGGGAGCGGGAGCGCTTCGCCTGCCCGCCGTCAGGCCGGTCTTCTGCGCCGCGGCCGCGCGACCACGGCTGCCAGCCCTTGGCTGCGACCTTGCTGCCGGCCCGCTCCTCCAGGGCACCCTTGTCCCTGGTCTTGATCAGCTCAAGGCCGAGCGGGCGGATGTGGTTCGCCAGGCAGCCCTCCTGCGTTTTGGCACAGAACGGGCACTCGTGGTGGAAGACGCACGACTTGCCGCGCTCGTGCATGTCGCACCTGCAAGAGAAATGGCGGAAGCAGAAATGGACCGCATCTGGCTTCCGCTTGGAGCTCGTGCCCGGGCCGTTGGGCTTCAACTCCTTTACCTGCTTCTCTGCCTGTGTCACAGGATCCTCCTTGTCGCCAAGCAAGGCTTCTGCGAAGGCTTCCGGGTCCGTCTTCCACGCAGCTGCTTCCCAGGCGTTGTTCCGGACAAGCTGATCGTAAGCCATGGCATGCTTTTCCGCCTGTACCAGAGGGCTCTTGGAGTCTGAAGCCAGCTCTGCAACCTTGTCGATATGGTTGAGCACCGACGCGACGCTGAGCCGGCCGCGGAGAAGCCCCGCCCAAGCGACCTTGATGAAGCTGGACGTCCATTCTGCGAAAGTGCGGCCCTCTGCCCAGGCCAGGCCTTCCTCCTAGAGGGAAAAGAACTATGCACATGCACCGATTTTGGCCAGGCCCATCCTGAGCCTAGGATCGGTGCATACGCCCTCCTACCTTGGCCAGGAAGGCATATGCGCCGATCCTGGGTCAAAAATGGGCCTTGCCAGGATCGGTGCATGTGCATAGTTCTCTTCGCCCGACCACCAGCCCCATCCACAGTGCTGCTGTACAGGAGTGGCTTATTGCATTTTGCCGCCGACTCGCAGAGCTTCATCTGCTTCGCAGAGGGGTATGTCCGGAGAGCTGGTTCCCCAAGCCCGGCCTGCTCGATCAACTTCCCGAAGTCGTCGGCGGGTTGTTCCTGCTCCTGCAACAGGGACAAGGCCGATCCACTCGACAGCGCGAGCGCAGCCTGGAGCATGCGTAGTTGCTCTTGCGGGGTGCTCCCAGAGGCCGTAGCTACAGGACCCTGGGATGGCTCGGGTGCCCCAGCCAGTGCGGCAGGGCAGATCGTCTTCACAAGCTTTGCCACTGCCACCCTGACGCCAGGCGGCGTGGCGGCCTCTTCCGGGAAAACCGAGCTCGGCCTCCCGTTAGCCGACAACTCATGGACCATGTCTGCGAAGGGGGTGAACTCCGCTAGTGTACGCAATCCGCCGGAAGATGCCAAACGTGCTGACAAGAATATGTCCTTGACCTCATTGGCAATCTCGCCGGGCCCGCGCGTGGCCTCGACGATCTCCATAATCAACCTGCTGTCATCTGAAGGGCTCCCCCCCCGACCAGACGCTTGAAGGAGAGACGCCTCCAGCTCCCCACGCTCTCCCGCGAGAGCCATGGGCCAGGAGCACGGGCCGCGCGCGGGCGGGTGGCCGAGGAGAGGAGGCCCGCGGGCGGGGCTGGCCGCGGAGCCCGAGGTCGCGGCTCGCTCCTGCGCGCGAGCCCAAGCTGCAGGCGGAGGAGAGGAGGGAGCCAACTGAAGAGTCTGGGAGACACTGGAAGCCCGTGCCGCCGCCAGCCGAGAGGCAGTTCCTCTTGCCCTCGTCCTCGTCCTCCTCTTCCGCCTCGTCCCCCCAGTGCGGCCGACGGCGCACGTTTGTCCAGTCGGTTTCAGGGAACCTTGAGCGAACGAGCCCCGCCAAGAGTTTGCACAGTGGTAAGACTCGTGTCCACACATCGGTGCTCGAGGTGTGTGCACGGCGTCCGCGGCCTCTCACGCTAGGTGCGGTCTCGAGCCTGCGTGCACTGACGTCGGCGGACCTAGCTCGTGTCACCCCATCTACAGTCACGCTTCTCTGAGCATGTGAGCCCGTGTACATGTTTCTTCCCATCGGACTGAAGCACAGGCACTCAAACAATCGCTCGTGTGAGGTGCAATGGTAATTCTTACCTCCTCCTCCTGATCCGCCTGCTCCTCCTTCATCATTCGTCCTCCTCCCCCTAGGCCTATGCCGGTGATAATGGTCCCCTGGGAATAATCAAGTTCGGGGTCCAGGGGGGGTCATAAACTTTCTCGCCGAGAAATTGGTGTTAGGATGTCTGGATCGACGTTTCCAAGATCGGTTTCCAAGAGCCTCCATGATCCTCCTAGAAGGCCTTCTCGGAGACGGCGACGTGATCGAGGAGCTGGATGATCTCGTGTTGATGCTCGATGTGTTTGCTATGCTATTCGATATGTGTCTTAATCAGCTCGATCAGACATCCTCACAATAATGATACGAAAGAGAATTCATGGTCGATTCATGGTGCTATGCTTGAGATGAAGACCAGAGCTTAAATAGGAAATTTGGAGGGACAAAATTCGGCCTCCCCGCCTGGTTTTGCATGTTGAACCACATTCAATCCCGTAGATACACAGATGCAAAGAGTAAAGGGAGATGCTTTATTATCCGCGGCCTGGGGGCTAATCCCCGACTCATCCTCCTCACATACCGCCTTCCTCCTCCTCCTCCTCCTCCTCCTCCTCCTGTTCCTCCTCCTCCTCCTCCTCCTCCTTCTCCCCCTCTTCCCCCCTCTCCCCCGACACCATGTCTCATGCCACCGTGCCACCACCACCCTCTCCCCCACTCCGCCCCCCCGCCCCCCCCTTCCTCCCTCTCCTCCTCCTCTTACTCCTCCCCCTCTTCCCTTGGATCCCCAGAGGTCTCGACCCATTCCTCGGATTCATCCCGAGTCAATTGTTGGGGCCCCGGGGCCCAGCCAAGGCCCCTGGGGACCGAAACTTGCCCAAAACCGCCCGCCGTGATTTGGTCACCACGCGAGGGGGTGTGGGTCCACCGACGGCAGAGGCGACAAGCAACCTCCCGCGTCGCTTCTGCGGCCAAGCAACCTCCCGCCTCGCTTCTGCGGCCTCCCAGATGAGGTCCGAGTAGATGGGGTCGGAGGATCGCGCCGCATCGCAAGTGCATCGGCGACGTTGGCGACGCATCAGCACCATCGGGGTGGGGAAAGTCTGGCTCCACGTCGAGCCGCATCGTCGACGCATCGCCGATGCGGAGCGATCATTCGACCCCTTCTACTCGGCCCGGGCCCCATTTGGGAGGGCCAGACCCTCCCCCTCGCTTGCCATTGCTAAGACGCCCAGTCCCCGTGGATTGTTCGGTTTCGCGCGTGCTCTTTTTTGGCCCGATGATCCAGGATGCACCTCGATGGCCCTCGCCGAGAAAAAAGTACACGTCTGGGCGATGACTAGCCCGAGGATGAGACGTCGGCGGCGGCGGCGATGACGTCGGCGGCGGCGGCGGCGAACGCCCGCCCGAGGGCCTCCAACCCGCAGGACCGGCGGCGGGAGGCCCGGCGGCAGGCGCAGCGGCAGGAAGCGGTCCTTGGCGCCGGCTCCCTGGGGGGGAGGTGGGGACGCGGGCAGAGGCCTCCCAGATGGGGTCGGAGCAGATGGTGTCGGGGAATCGCGCCGCATCGCCGAGGCATCGGCGATGCGTCGTCGATGCATCGGAGATGCATCGGCGATGCGCCGGCGATGCGACGTCGACGTGAAGCAAATCGGGCTCCACATTGAGCCGCACCGCCGATGTCTCGGCGATGCGGCGCGACCCGCCGACCCCATCTACTCCGACCCAATCTGGGAGGCCTGGAGCAAGATCCTCGAGGGGGTTAAGGGCAAGCTAGGTGCGCTCGCGCCAGATCTGGCTTCATCTGGCAACTCCGAGAGCTGCGGTTTACAGGAGATGCGGATTGCAATCCGCGCCTGGTGGGGCAGGCGAGGACCTCGCCAGATATCCCTGCCGCGCCCCGACGAGGGCTCACCAAACCTTTGGCGCAACGTGGTGACCCCCCAAGCCCCAACGGCGCCGATCGCAAACCACACCCCGTCGGAACCACAACCACTGCAATCGCCGAATCCTACCCACTGTAATCGCCGAATCCTACCCCTCCCACCGCTCCCTTCTCCATGCGTAGATTTTCCTCTTATCCGCGGACGGGGAAGGGGGAGGATCTCACTCTGGATCTCACGGATACCAGGCCCAACCCCTGGGGGTCGGGGACGCACTGACCCAGGTCAATGCAAACCTCGGTCAGTGTGGCCTTGCAGGTTCCTGCGAGATGCCGCAGGATCCTGCGCACAAGCCCAGGTCAGTGCAGCCCTGGCTCTGCAGGATCCTGCAAGATCTGGCGCTCTGGATGCCCCCCGACTGCGTTGGCCCCCGTCGCTTGCGCCCAGAGGGGGGGGGGAGGGGAAGCGGGTGCCCCCGGGGACGGGGGGGAGCCTCGCCTGGGTTCCCTCCGGCCTCCGACGCGCCACCCTGGAGGGCCGAGCCAAGCCCCCCCCCGGCCGTCCGCGACGGGCAGGACGGGGCAGAGGGTCCGAGAAAGGGAAGGGGTAGGAGGGAGGAGGGGGAACAAGGATCGGCGGCCCCCGACGGGGGCGGTACCAGGGAAGAGTGGAGGGGAGGGGAGACTCGTGTCGAGACACCCTCCCCGCCCGCAAGCTGCCTCGCTCACTCCCGCCCGCCCTCCCAGCACCAAAGTAGCACCCGACCGAGCCGCAGCGTAGTCAGCGGTAGTCTTTGGGATGGAGAGCTAATGGGAACCAAAACAGACCCAATGTGTGCAACGCAGGGGCGAGGTGCGATCCATGTTGAGTGAGGGTACGCCCAGAAATATCTACACAGACGCCCGCCGACGAATTCTGCCCTTGCCTTCCGAGCGGGTGGCGGTGTGCGCAAAGTCCATGGCTCTCAGTGGTGATTGATACAAGGAGGAGGAGGAGGAGGAGGAGGAGGAGTGGGAGGAGGAGGAGGAGGAGGATTGGAGGGTGTCTGTGCACATATTTTTGTGGCGGAGAAGGAGTGCGGCAGCCGCCGAGGCGAGCGTGTCCTTGCCCCCCCCCCTGTCGGCGCGCGGGACCTCCGCGAGCGGCCGCCCTCTCTCGAGAGATGGCGGCACCGCCCCCACGGAAGAGGCGGCCCCCGCAGGGGACGGGACGGTACGGGGGGGATATTTGAGCAGGGACCGACCGTCCCGGCAATCCTGTAGGCCTACCACGAAATGTTCGTAGAACCCAAATGTGTTCCAAGAACAAAAACAATGATCTCAGAACATAAGCCCGAGGCGAGAAAGCAAGGCAGTCCCAGCCAGAAATGTTCTAAGAACATTCCGTGGAAGCCACAAAAGGTTCTTAGAATATTGTTTGGTAGGCCTATGGGCACGCCAGGACGCTTCGCCACTGCTTGAGATCTGGGAGGGCAAGATCAGTGAGTATCGAATCGGCAAATCGGGTCGAATCGGAATGTGTGCCAGATCGGGCCACGTCGGCACGGAGCCGGAATCGGCGAGAATCGGCTGGGCCAGGGTGCACAACAGCGCCATGCAAGCAGCGGGCCGCATCGGATCGCTGGAGTATCGGAAGCGAATCGGATCGGGCTGGCTGAATTCGATGGCGATCGGATCGAAATAGACCCTGGGGGGGGTAGGAGTGCGGCAACCGCCGAGGCCGCCCTTCGGGACGGCTCCAAACGAACGGTCGAAGACAATCCGAATAGAAAGACACCTGGGAAAGACAATGCTGGAGACAGCCTGGCCGATAGCATATGTGAGCATCAAACCATAAATTGAACAGGGACCGACCGTCCCAGCATTCCTACAGTCCTACAACGAAGTGTTCCAATAACAAAAGCGATGTTCTTAGAACACAAACCCGATGCCATGAAACAAGACAGACTCCGCCAGAACTGTTCCAAGAACATTTCGTGGAAACCACAGAAGGTTCTTAGAACATTGTTTGGTAGGGCTATAGGCGAGCCAGGACGCTTCGCCACTGCTTGAAGGAGAGGCTGGCGCAAGCCGCCACGCTGGAGAGGCGGACGCAGGACACCACACTGTCGACGGAGAGAGAGAGAGAGAGAGAGAGAGAAAAAAAAAAAAACAAAAACGAAAAAAACGATGCTCCTACTGAGTAGTGGTTGGGGAGGGGAGATGGGGGTAGATGTGTTCCTCCTTTCCATCCTCCCTTCTCCCTTTTCTTCTCCCTCCTCCTCCTTCCCCCCCTCCTCCTCCTCCTCCTCCTCCTCCTCCTCCTCCTCCTCCTCCTCCTCCTCCTCCTGCTCCCGCTCCCGCTCCTCTTATTCTCCTTTCCCTCCCCGTGCGCGCCTGAGCGCGCGCAGGAAGTGGGGGAATGGGAGGATAGGGGCGGGAAGCACGAAGCCTGACGTAGGAGGAGGAAGATTACCAGAACATATCATGGTGCTGCTACAGATGATGGTGGCGATGGGAATCCTGTACATATCTTTAGATTAACAAACCTAACGCTGATACCATTATTAAGAAGTCGTAGAAGACTCACAATATTGATACTGATACGACGACGCATGATATTAATACGGATAACAACGAAACGTATATACATATACTAGAACCATCGCGCGCTTCGCGCGCGCTCAGGTTCTAGCAGGCACCAGGCCTTGACGAATTCACTGCTGCTCCACTGAAGCAGTGGATCACAGTCCACGCATGCCAATCTGCATTCCGAAAGGCCTTCGAGGAAAATAGTTGTGTAGGGGGGCGGAGGCCGTGTGAATCGGGCTCCCAGAAGGCCTTCTCCTGGGAGCATGGGTTTGGGGCGTCTTGGGGAGCCTGTTGGGGCGTGCCGTCGTCGTCGTCGTCGTCGTCGTCGTCGTCGTCGTCGTCGTAATGTCGTCGTCGCCTATTGGGGCGCGCCGTCGTCGTCGTCGTCGTCGTCGTCGTCGTCGTCGTCGTCGTCGTCGTCGTCGTCGTCGTCGTCGTCGTCGTTTCGTCGTCGTCGTCGTCGATTCAAGAGGGCACTTGGGGCAACTTTGTGCGAAACGATCTGCGGAGGGTCTCGAGAAGGCGATCACTCATGTTCCCAATCAACTTCCCACTCTCCTGTAGCATGATGGTACTTCGAAGCCTCTGGAGACTCGCGGGCCCATGATGAACCGTGTCCCCGGAAGGCTTTCTGGGGACATGGTTTGTTGGGGTGTGTTGGGGGGTCTCTTGGGCGTTCCCTGGGGCCCCTTGGGGGCCTCCGGGAACTCTCGGGTCCATGATGAACCATGTCCCTGGAAGGTTTTCTGGGGACATGATTTCTTGGGGTTGTGTTGGGGGCCCTCTTGGGCGTTCCCTGGGAGCCCCTTGGGGGTCTCTTGGGGCTTCCTGGGGGCCTCTTGGGCGCATCACGGGGCTTCGTGGGAGCCTCTTGGTGGCCTCCGGGGGCCTACAGGCGGCCTCGAGGGCCAGAGACCTCGAAATATCGGTTGCTGGTCCACTCTGGGCCCTCTCTTGGGGAACTCTTGGGGCACAGTTGGGTTGTCTGGGGAGCCTCCTGGGCCGTCTTGGGGCCCTCTTCGGGGCCTCCTGGCCCGTCTTGGAGCGATCTGAAGGGCCTCCGAGCGAGGCCGTGAGGGAGCACTGGGAAGCGGGGAAAGCGAGAACGCCAAAATCCTTCAAAAACCATAGGAAAATTCATGAATCTTGCCTCCCAAGGCCCTCTTGGGGAGCCTCTTGAGTCCGTCCTGGAGCGTGTTCGAGTCACTCATTCGAGTCCTCGTCGGCCGTCTTGAGGGCAGCTTGGGCGTCTTCGGGGCCTCTTGGGACCGTCTAGGACCCTCTCGGGACCTCCATTAGCCTGTCGTGGCCTGCTTCGGGGCGGGCCCGGGCCGCCTCGGGACCCCTCTGGGCCTTCTCTTGGCGCGCTCTTGGAACACACTTGGGTTGTCTGGGGAGTATCCTGGACCGTCGTGGGGCCCTCGTCGAGGCCTCGTGGGCCTTCTTGGAGCGATCTGAAAGTCCTCCGAGGCCGTGAGGGAGCGCTGGAAAGCGGCAAAAGCGAAAACCCCCAAATCCCAAACACTCGGAGAACGAGTGAATCTTGCCTTCCAGGGCTCTTTTGGAGAGCCTCTTGAGTCCGTCCTGGAGCGTGTTGGGGTCCTCGTTGTCTGTTTTGAGGGCATGTTGGGCGTCTTCGGGACCTCGTGGGACCGTCTTGGGTCCTCTCGGGACCCCCTTAGCCTGTCGTGGCCTCCTTCGGGGCGAGCTCGGCCCGCCTCGGGAGCTCTGTACCCCCCCCCCCGCAACCCCTGGTGGGCACCGATGGGGGGAACAAGCAGCGGCCCGCCCCACCCCCCCCCGGGCCTGCTCCGAGATAGAGAATCATGTTCCCGGGAAGCTTTTTCTGGGAGCATGATTTGTTCGGCTCTCTAAGAGGGGGTTCTCTGGCGGCTTACCGAGGGGCGCCTTCTGGCCTTGTCGGCAAGCCTATTGGAAACATGGTTGGGGCGGTGGGCGGAAGCCCAAGGAATCATGTTCCTGGAGAACTATCTGGGAAATACGATTCACCGAAGTGTCTTGGGGTCCCGCAGGGGG